AATCGTCGACGAAAATTTGTAACCGAACACACATACACACACACACACATACATCCATTTTTTCTAAGATATGCCAAAATATTCAGAAACCTCCGAAACGTAAAGATATATAAAAATTTTCATTTTCAATTTTTTTGCGATTACTACAACTTGCCCTATGGGAAGTTAATAATACCTCTGATAATATTTTTAAGAGAAATTACTTGTTTCTAAGTAATTCTTTTCATAAATCAACTCAAACTATAATTAATAAAAATAAAATATGTAATGTCTCATATAATATAAATTTTTTCATAAACCAGCGTAAACTACAATTATTAACGTAATTCAAATAAATGATATAGTCTCTCCTGTAACCCAATTTACTTTTACCCACATCTTACAAACTATAAACTTCGCCCTGTCTTCTTCTTTTGATTTTTTTTATAATTTTGTGTATGTTACAACTAGCTCCAGGGTTTTGTTTCAACTAACATCAAGTGTGATTTTTTCCTATTGATCAAAATTTACCAGTCACTATATTACAGATTGATGAATTTGAAAAGATATAAGATATATAAAATTTAAATTTAGTCGATAATAATAACGCAACCGCAATTTTGTTGAAGATAAATTTTATATTACTTGGCAAAAGGACGCACCTGCACTATTCTGTTTACTACATCGGCCTGCGGGATAGTGTTCTATGACAATATTGTAAGCAGGATGTTTTACATGACCAATCGACACAAAAAACAATTTAATATCGTTTAAGATAATAGTGAAAAATGACTGTTTTACCCCTTTTAAAAAAAAGCCTTATATATGTATAATATATATATATATACATATATATATATATATATATATATATATATTAGGGCAGGTCGATTTAAAGGTCGATTAGGCACATAAGATTTTCGTGTACTAGGTATCAAAATAAGATACTTTGCTGAATAGTCCAGAAACGGAATTTTTCTAAATTCAACCCTTATATTTGAATCAATACACGGGAAATCAGTATTTATTCTAGAGATGTGGTTCTTCGGCAAAGTATCTTATTTTGACCTCTACTATCCGAAATTCGTATATGTCTATTAGACTTTTTTTACCCATACAAATTGACACACCATATATATAATGGATAGTACTACCCTAGAGCAGGTTGGTGCGTTGAGTTAAACTCCAACTCGATTCAAAGAAGAATAGTGTGGGAAGTTTTCCATCGCCCTTTCATAGCGCAGTGCCTGAACATTAGCTATTTTCAATTGAAAACATATTTTTGATCTATATTTTGTAAAAATAGACATTGCTAATACACTATTTTAGGTTACCCAGAGCGGGGTCCTGGACAACCTGACATGGTGCTTTAATTATGAATCTGAATTATCTGCTTGACAAATGACAAATTTGACGTTACAATAAATACAGATTTAAATTGACTTTATCATAGTTAATCCATATAATAATTCCTTAAATTTTTATCATCAAAATGTAATCAGTTCTTATGATCAGTTATTATGACAGAAATAACAAATTGTGATAAGTAGAAAAAAAAAATTGAATTTTTGTAACTGTATTATTATTATCATCTCATTTTAGTCAAATTTCATACACTACTAGTCATAGACTTTGATTTATCATAGAAATATTAGTTAGCAAATATGTAAAGTGTATAAGACAATTATAAATTCATGTACACGAAATTTAATCAGTAATAAATATTGATTATTATGATTTCTTGCAATAATAAATATTTGTAATAAAACGATTTGAAGAGTAAGTTCACAATTGTACATTTTACATTTTCAGACGCTCTATATGCGATCACTACTAAGCAAGAGATCTAATATATTTGAGAGTATTAAAGAACGGTGCGAACAATCTGACTGTGAAGCACCATCATAGTTTCATCGTACTTTTTTGATAAAATGTTCCGGAGCAAACGGATCGTGTTTGATATAGCTGAAGCTGATTCTGTCAAGCGTTCGACTTTCTTGAAATGTTGTGAATGTAGATCGAGGGGCATTTAAAGTTCTATATTCGCATCGCCGCGTCGAACCGCACAGGAGGATAATAGGGCGCTGACAGCGACGTCCTCAACTCCGCAACTGACAACTGATAGTGTCACGACGATCGCTACCGACGCTACCGCACGGCGGGATAAAACAGATGAAAAAGCACATTTCGAATTTCGAATTTCGAAGCATTCTTATGCTGACGTTAGTACATTTGCGGTAAGTTTCAATTTCGGTTCTGAGACTATGTACACGAAGATTAAGTTATTCAAGGCAGAACAGAGTAATTATTTTTGAGAGAACATATCGGTTGCGTCCACGGATTAAAATAATTAACAAAATTAAAAACTTAGTTTGTTGAATTATTTATTTACTTCACTCAGCTTCTTGAGACAACTTCAAGAAGACTGAAGAAGAAGCTGCCCGAAGATAATATGGAGGAACCTTAGAACTACCACAACCTTATATGAACAGAATAGTAGAATCACTTATTGAAGCGATTCTCTAAATATGATTGTAATATTGATCCGATGAATTTATATGTGTGTTTGAAAGTCTGTGTGTATGTGTGTGAGTGAATGACATAAGCCAAATAGCTCATAGAACAGTCATGTATTCTGATTGCTATTGAAAATAAAATTAAAAAAAAAAATATTTACAAATAATCAGACTTCAGGTTTATAGAAGTCACATTAGTTTCTAACTTTAAATCACTGTGTTAGCACAAACTAGTCTCGCGTTCACCAAAGCCAGAGCCCGACATCAGACAGCTTTGATGTCAAATTGAGGTTATAGATTTCAAATATGACATCAAGTGAAAATCGCCTTTCGGGGGTAAGGCTGCATATGAAATCATAAAACGTTAAATACTTCGAGTATTGATTATTAGTCACAACTGGATTGGACAACCACTCTTTTCAAAAAAAAAGCATATACTTCAAACAATTACTGAATTTCGTAGTATGGCAGATTGTGATTTAAAGCATATTAAAATATTTAAAACTAGAGGAAAAAAGATGTATAACCAGTTATCACCTTGATTCTTGCGACTTTGCTATCGGGAGAAAAACGGTAATGTTTCAAAATCCATAACAAATGTATTTGCTTCGTCGTTAGTGTTTCTTTGGTTGTGAGCGCTGTTGTTTAGTTTACAAGACCTTAATGTAATCTTAAGTAAACGATTTAATTGGTTAAAGATGCATTGTTAATTTTAAGTTAGGTTCAACAATTTTTTTTGT